CACTTAGTGAGATTGGATAACACTGGGAAAACGTACCCATTCCACTTGGAACAGGAACGTTGCTGAAACCCCATCGCTCCCGAAGGAGGTTTCGGAAGCACTTACACACATGAACAAAGGTGGAGGGCATCCTCCATCCTCCGGGGGAGGGAGTGGTGCGTTCACCATCTCCCAAAGAGCAGATCCCTCCATCTCTGTCTACGCCCGGCTCCACGCAGGGGCCCCCCTCAGCGACGAGCAGCTGCGATGTGACGAATTGCCTCAGTCTGCTTCTGTGGAGCCAAGAACTGCTGGGCAAAGCTCTCGACTGCATCGCTGAAGAGGTTTGACACAGGGGCATTGAGGAACCGTACTTTGTCGGCATCCCTCATGTCGGCCAGACACAGCCAGAGATGGCGCTCCTGGACCACAAGTGTGGACATCGCACGACCCAGAGAACTTGCGGTGACCTTCATCGCTCGGAACGCGAGGTCAGTAGCGGTTCGGAGCTCTTTCAGAACTTCTGGATCATGACCACCCTCGTTCAGGTCCTTCAGTGCCTTGGCCTGATGAACCTGCAGTAACGTCATAGCGTGTAAGGCGGAGACAGCTTCTCCACTAGCCGTATAATCACTGCCGGTCAGACCAGATGAATGCCTACAGGTCCGGGAGTGGACTTGCCCGCCAGGAGGAGGCGGTCTTAGGATACAACTTAGGAACCAGCAGGCATGTTTCTGGCAGTAAAAGGTGCTGTCCATGACCTGGTGAGATCCTCATGCACCTCCAGGAAGAAAGGCACCGGGGCGGGTCGCTGAGAACCAGCACGAGCCACCCCGAGAAACCAATCATCCAACCTCGAGGGCTCGGGACGCGGTGGAGGTTTCCACTCGAGCCCTATTCTCTCGGCGGCAAGCATAGCCAACATATCTGGATCCGATTCAGGTGTTGCCACCATCCCGGAGGGCGGCAGCGCAGCCAAATCTTCCTCTCCAGAGAGCTCTCCCTCTGATGCAGTGATCAACATCCGGTCGTCGGGAGGAGCACCAGAAGGATACCGCTGGTACGCTCTTCGAAGAGGGCCCAGTGCGTTCCTTTGGCGGCTCGACTGGTTCTGAAGCGCTAGAGGAGTGGTGGGCCCCCGAGGGTTGGTTCCCTGAGGGGTTTGCCACCACTGTAAGCCTCAGACCACCCGTGCTACTGCCCAAAGTAGTCCTCGCCTGGCTGCCGCCAGGACGAACACTAGATCGTGGCAGAGGCAACGGAGCTCCGCCCCCTGGAGGTAACGGAGCCTGGTCCGCAGCTCTGAGATGGTCATCTTCCCGCAATGAGAACATGACTCATCCATGAACGCCACCTCAGCGTGTTTAGTGCCCAGACACGCGAGGCAGCGATCGTGACCATCACCCGGCGCCAGGTAACGATGGCATCCAGAAACGCATGGGTGAAATGGCATCTTTAAAAAGACGATCCATCGTCTTTACAAAGACGCACCTGTGTACTCTTTTAGAGAAATTGGCTCTTTCAGGGAAATGCTCTTTTACGTGCTGAGACGCACAGAGGAAATGGCCACTTGCAGCACGACAGGGGGTATTGCAGCCTGAAGTGCACAACCCACTTGACACAGGAACGACCACCGATGAAGCGCCATCCGCCAACACAAAAAGCTCCCTAGAGCGCGCTGAACTCGTCGTCACCACGAAGATATTGGTAGGAGCAGAACGATGTTATCGCTCGGCTCCGAAGCGAAAAGCTGGTATGCGTTGCACCGGCTGCCTTTTTATGCTCACGCTGTGATCGAAGCGAGATCCCAATTCGTCGGTCACGACGTGACTCGTTTATAAATCACTCAATGGCCTAGGACCTAAATACATAGCAGATATGTTCACTGAATATAAACCTAACAGACCACTCAGATCATTAGGATCGAGTCGGTTAGATATACCAAGGGTTCACACAAAACAAGGGGAGTCTGCTTTTAGTTATTATGCCGCCCGCAGTTGGAATCAGCGTCCAGAAGAGATCAGATGTGCTAAAACATTACTCGCATTTAAATGCAGACTCAAAACTCATCTGTTTAGCTGTGCATTTATTGAATGAGCACTGTGCAATGTCCGAACTGATTGCATTATATTTTATGTATAATCATTTTCCATTCTTAACTGTTATAAATTCATTTTAAACCTCTTAAATAAATTTTTTTTTAAGTTTTTAAAAAAGTTTTTAAATTACTTGTTTTATTGTTATTATTATTTTCTTTTCTTTTATGTAAAGCACTTTGAATTACCATTGTGTATGAAATGTGCTATATAAATAAACTTGCCTTGCCTTGCCTCTGTAAGAGGGGCCACAAACACACCAATTGACTAAGAGGCACCAGGTCCTTTAGAGTTGGGAGGTGACAGCTCTGAAGGTAACCAGGTACCGATATCAGTTGACACTGGTAGAGACTCTGCAGAATCTGATGGTGTGACCCTGAATGTGGAGGCTGCAGATGAGCGTGTTCTGTCTCAGGGGTTAGAGACTGGTGAAATGCTGGTGAAATGCTGGTGAAGTACCAGTTCCAGCTGTGCGCAGAAGCAAGCGAGCGACTGGGGGTGTTCACACAAATCCTTTGCATGCACCCAGGTCTGCTTGTCATGCAGTAAGTGTCAGCACAGATATGGTGTCTCAAGTGCTGACCAGTATTGAAAGTGCGTTGTTTGAGAAGGCAATACAGGGTGTCATGAATACTGAACTTGTAATTGAGTAAGTCATCGAGGGCGCTAACTACTTGCAGGGGAGAATGTAACCGGGTGGTAAATAATATAAAAGTTGATTTCTCTCTTTGCATGTTTAAACTAGTTATTTAATCATTATTTGCTGTGTTCTGTAAATTAAAAAGTGAAAGAAAGAAAAAATTGTATGCCGGTATTTTCTTCAAGTTGTCAGTAGGTGGTGCTGTGTGCATTACGTATGGGAATATGTTACGTTACATTACATGTGATGTGCAGTGAGCAGTGCGAGGGAGACGTGCACTCTCTGTAAACGGTGACATATTTACGATCATCCAGTGTGTAGAGCACAATGTTGAGGATTTCAGCCCTCCTGAAGTGAACATGAGGTGTAAAGTAGGAGCTCATTGCTGTGTGAGTATTATTTCCTTTTATTCTTCGCAAGTGATGTGCACATGGCTACAATCCCTTTGGGTTACGAGTCCAACTCTCTAACCATTAGGCCACGACTTCCCCATAACAATATACTTATACTTATGTTATACAATATACAATATAACAATATACTTATGATGCTTTGTTTTCTTTGTACAAGCAGATTGTGAAACTAAAGCATGTAGTGGGAGGACCTGGAGGACCACTTATAGGTCTCGAGGGCCTTTCCTTTTATCAATAATAATGCTGAATGCTCAAGTGATTATAAGTTTCATTCACTCATTGACAGTGTTGGGAGTAACGCGTTACAAAAGTAATGCATTAGAGTCACAGATGACTTTTTGCTGTAACGTAGTAGTGTAAGGCATTACTAATCAATTTTCAGTAATATTGTACTCAGTAATGTTCAGTAACGCTTGCGTTACAACACGCTTTTAGCCCAAAATGTAATTGTTCAAAGAAAAAAAAAACAGCAAGACCGCGAGACATTAACGAATCAAAAATGCGGCCAGTAAGTTCTATTTCCTGTTCGTGGTCAGTCAATAGGCGGCTATTGACTGACCACGAACAGGAAATAGAACTTACTTACTGATGTAAAATGCTCTGCAGTACATTTTGTCATTTTAGAATGTTAAGTTCTACTTCTGTAGTTATTTTGGTGAAAGTAACTCAAAAGTAATACAGGAGTCATGTAACACATTACAATTCTGAGACAGTAATATTGTAAGGTAAGGAATTACTTTTAAATAACAGTAACAGGTAATCTATAATGTATTACAGTTTGGAAGTAACTTGCACAACTCTGCTCATTGATCACTGTCTTTCCTTTTATCAATGATAATGCTGAACGCTCAAGTGATCATAACTTTCATTCACTCATTGATCACACATTTTGACTCTTGTCTGCTAAACTCTAAACCTCTGGGAGATTCATCCTCTGCAGCAAGTTGCAGAGGCTCTGTATTTTTAACTATTTTAACCATTTTTTACACGTTATCTGAAAGTTCATTATAAATCAAACTACCAGAAGCAAAGACATGAGCAGCAGGTCACCAACTTCATCTTGAGTCATCAGAGTAATTTCTGCTGAGATTTAGTGTTTACTGCACATTTTACTGAGGACAAAGATATGTGTGACTATCAGAGAGATCTTACCACAGTATCTCCGGTTTACAGTGAGGATCCTGTAGTACATCAGAAAGCAGCTTCACTGAATCTCCTAGTTTATTCCCAGACATACTCAGTTCTCTCAGGTGTGAGGGGTTTGATCTCAGAGCTGAAGCCAGAGCAGCACAACCTTCATCTGTGACACTGCAATAATTCAACCTGTAGAGAACAGTGACACACTCTTCACTCTCTCAGATCAGATCAGTTTAGCTGTGAATCCATTATTAAACTTAAAGCACAAATCAATATGTTTGATGGATCATTGGACTGAGGTCTAAAATGTCACAAAACATGATCATAAATCATCCAAAGTCTTATTCAAGCAGGATAAATTATATTCCTTATATGCACTACATCTGTATATTATGCAAAATGCCTGTCTTATGCTAAATCTGTTTTAATTGATGACACTATTCACTACATAGCATGTGTGAGAGTCATATTTGATCTTACCCCAGTTTCTCCAGTTTACAGTGAGGATCCTGTAGTACATCAGAAAGCAGCTTCACTGAATCTCCTAGTTTATTCCCAGACATACTCAGTTCTCTCAGGTGTGAGGGGTTTGATCTCAGAGCTGAAGCCAGAGCAGCACAACCTTCATCTGTGACACTGCAATAATTCAACCTGTAGAGAACAGTGACACACTCTTCACTCTCTCAGATCAGATCAGTTTAGCTGTGAATCCATTATTAAACTTAAAGCACAAATCAATATGTTTGATGGATCACTGGACTGAGGTCTAAAATGTCACCGAACACAAAACATGATCATAAAACATCGAAAGTCTCATGAGCACTGTGCTAACTCCAAATGATTGCACTGTACGATATGTATCCTCATTTTTTATTCTTAATTGTTTTAATTAATTTTAAATAAATTTTTTATATTTTAAAACGTTTATTCTGGTTTCTTTTGTAATTTTGTCTGATGGGCTATGTGCGCTAAGTGTAAACAGATAATCGATTTAAAAGGTTTTTGCAAACACATGTACAAGAAACAAAGCTGGTCGCACAATTTTTTACTTTCTGTAATCTTGATTGACAGATGTCTCGTCCCATCAGTGATAAGTATTCAAATAGCAAACAATACCTACCTTTTCCATTTTGTCTGGATTTTCATTGTGTTTTCTGACTTGTTTTATGTTTAGATTTACCATTATGTTTATAATATATATATATATTTTTTTTTGCACGTCACATACAGTACACTTTACAGTATGAGTCATATATGATCTTACCACAGTTTCTCCAGTTTACAGTGAAGATCCTGTAGTACACCAGAAAGCAGCTTCACTGAATCTTCTAGTTTATTCCTAGACAGATTCAGTTCTCTCAGGTGTGAGGGGTTTGATCTCAGAACTGAAGCCAGAGCAGCACAACCTTCATCTGTGAAGGGTTTTTGTTAAATGTGAGCCAAAATCATCACAATTAAAATAACCAAAGACTTAAACTACTTCAGTCTGTGTGCATTGCATTTATTTAATACACGAGTTTCACAATTTGAGTTGAATTACTGAAATAAATGAACTTTTCCACGACATTCTAATTTATTGAGATGCACCTGTATGTTTGATGGATCATTGGACTGAGGTCTAAAATGTCACATATCACAAAACATGATCATAAAACATCCAAAGTTTCATTCAAGCAGGATACATTATATTTATTATATGCACTATATCTGTATTTTATGCAAAATCTGTCTGAAATGACAGTGCGAGTCATATATGATTTTACCACAGTTTCTCCAGTTTACAGCAAGGATCATCCAGTCCAGCAGAGAGCAGCTTCATACCAGAATCTCCTAGTTTATTCCACGACAGATCCAGTTGTCTCAGGTGTGAGGGGTTTGATCTCAGAGCTGAAGCCAGAGCAGCACAACCTTCATCTGTGACGCCACAATCAATCAACCTGTAGAGAGATGAAAATCATTCATGTGAAACTCTATCAAACAGCTATCAAAAAAAGCAATCAAAAAACTTGCAATTCCATTATAATTTAATTAATTCATACCATGAGAAAAAAATTGATTTCTAAATGTCAATTTATCCAAGTTGCACGGGCAAATAAAAAAAAAAAACACAAATAAAAAATGTTAAGACTAGATTAAATGACCATTTATCTATTAATTGAGGAAATTGTAATTGTATTATAATTGTGTAAAAATGTAATTATTGTATTAATACATTTAACTTTAACTTTAACTGGTTGAACATGATTAAAACTAATCCTCAAGCTGGACTGTGAACTGACAGATAGTTTGTGTGTTTTAATGTAAGTCTGAGTCTCGCTCTTGTCATTCCAGATGCCCTTCTGTAAAATGACAAAACTCAAAATATAAATAACCAAAAAATATAGTTAATAACTACCTTGTAGATTTCAATTGTTGTCTTCAAAAGTGTGTGTTCAAGTATGCTGCTGTTTTGCTCCATTAACTGATTCATCAAATTTGAGGAGATTTGAGCTGCTGTATATATGAGCTGCTTCTCCACTTGTTTGGTTGCTCTCGATTTCTGCTTGCTCTTTTATGCCAGATGAGAAATATTTACATTTCTTCTCTATGTTAATTTTGAAAATTTTAACAGGAAAACCTGAATTATTTATATGCAACTTCTCTGCCTTTGTTTGAATGCCTGAAGAAATCTTTTACAGTGTCTCTGTATTGAAAACACATCAAAATGCCGACCACTAAAATGCTAGCTACAGCACTGAAGATTTATGAGCTTTTAACTTTGATTTTCTTAAAGTTTTAACAGTGAAGTGATTGTTCTCAGTGATACTTACTGAACTGATCTGGACTCTTTAATCACAGGCAGCAACTTCTGAAGAACTTTCATATTTTCAGGATTATTCTGTTCTTTGACAAACCCAGAAGGAACCGCAGGAAAAGATCCAGATGTCCATTTTTACTCTGTAGAGCCTCATCCACAGCTCTCTGATGCAGCTCAGATAATGAAACATGTTTTGATGAATTGAGTTGAAACCAGTCCTTCAAGACGTCATTGCATTTGATGGCTGTGTCCTCTGTTGCTGCTCTCCTGGATTGTGTCTCAATCTGTCTCACCTCATGCTCATTACTGATCTCTCCACTCTCACTCTCTGTGATGTAGAGCTCTGTGTAGATCTCATTCAGGAGTGTTGGGTTTCCCTGCGTCGCTGTTCCCTCATACAGACGCTCAAACTTCTTCATCAGATTTGATCTAAACATGATGAGGACTTCATGGCTGGAAAATTAAAATACCACATTATTACATGAGTTACAGAGGTAAATGTACAGAGCAAAATGTCTTTTCATGTTTTCTGTGTTATGAGACACTGAACATATCATAGGGTTTATGAAATGTGCCAGTTATTAATGATGTATTTGAGTAATGTGTGATGATGCACTGCATTAAAAACTCCCACAGTTTACCTCACACCAGGATACGTGCTGTCTTGTGGTTGATTCATAGACTGGTCATATTTCTCACAGATGGGTTTTGTTTCTGATCTGGGTGGCAGGATTGACCTTGAATCAAGAATCAAACACTCTGACATTGGTGACATTTTTCTCATGACCTTAATAACAGTTGTGACTTTATTAAAAATGCACTTGCTCTATATATGTTAGTTGTCATTAGATTTAATTAATTTCCTAGCTAGACTTCTGCTCATATTTATTTATTATAGTGCTGTGTAATTACGACAGTTTAATTTATAATATTCTACTATAATCAAATCTTTTACAAAAATATAATACTTGAGGTTGAACCGCGTGTCATCTCTCTTAAAATTAACTGGAGGATCCAAAGAAGCGTCACTCCTCATAGACACACAGCTGGGCTCTGGTTCTGACTTCTTCTGGTGAACTGAACTATAACAGAGAGAGATTAAAGGTACACTAAGTACTTTCATAGACGTGTTTCTCTGTGTGAGCAAATGTTAAAATATCAGATGAAAAACTGAAATAATCACATGATAAAACACCATAACAAATATTTCAGTTATGTCTGTTAATGAAATATTGTACCTGAAATGTTGTGTATGATCTATAGACTCGTCACTCTTCATAAACACACAGCTGGGCTCTGGTTCTGATCTCTTCTGATGAACTGAACTATAACAAAGAATCCTTTGAATTACTGTATTTATATAAAATTTGATTAAAGGGGTCATTTCAATGCGATTTCAATTTTTCCTTTCTCTTTGGAGTGTTACAAGCTCTTGGTGCATAAAGAAGATCTGTAAAGTTGCAAAGACTAAAGTCTCAAATCCAAAGAGATATTCTTTATAAAAGTTCCAAATACACAAAATAATGTTCTTTTTAGCAGCATCATATGACCCCTTTAAAATTGTGATCTTTTCATTTTTACTATGTTGATACAGAAACCATAAACTAAAGTTCTTTCATAGACTGTCTGCCATAATAACTAATATGAATACCATAATAACATGAATACCTAATATAAAACATTCACAATTTGAGTTGAATTACTGAAATAAATGAACTTTTCCACTACATTCTAATTTATTGAGATGCACCTGTACATATGACACACAGCTCTGGCTCTGATCTCTTCTGCTGAACAGATTTAATGATGACATTCATTTTAATAAAGGACCTTTAAAAAAATCACTTAATAAGGAGGCTCTATGGTCTTATTGTTTTAAATAAAAATATAATTTTTAACTTGTCAAAAATAAAAAAGATGGCGGAAGGCCATCTTTCATTTAAATGAAAGTGATTTAATATAGTACGTTTTCAAAGTACCTGCATCCTGGAGAAAGCTCTTGATCTCGGGGTGTTCGTGTGTCTCCCATGATGCAGCTGAACAGACAGAAGAGTGAGATCTCCAACACTTACTCTGGGTGGAAATGACAAACTAATCATTCAGCTGAACGGATCCTGAGAGTCGGAGAAACAGCAGAACGACGGTGGCGTTCACTCAAACACGTTTACATGCTACCAAATAACCCGTTAGTAATCGGACTGAAAAACCTTCATGTAAACAAGTTAATCGATCCGAATGAGATTTTCTAATACGATCGCGAGAGCATGTAAACACTGGATTGGGTTGAAAACCGAAACTGAAAGGACTGCGAGTGCGCGATGACGTAGTAAGAGCGTAATGACGTATGACGCGCGGAACGAGCTGTTCTTCCTGTTGAATGAAGTGTTTATAAATGAGTGTCCTGTCATTATAAAGCTCTCTTTTCACTCAGTGTCTGTGAAGCGGAGCAGAACAACGTCCCACCACTGCTTGTTTCAGATTCATCCACAAACACTGGTTTTGGGCGTTTTTACTGCGAGACAATATAGCAGCACGACACAGCGGTTTATTTGCTCACTGTCGCCAAATTATGAGCAGACATGTATAAATATTAATTCTGCTGTTCAAAACAAATAAAGAAGCAGTGTAGGAGAATGGTTATTATGGGTGAACAGCGGGGAACTCTCTATATTGCTGCAGTGTGGGCATGTAAGAAATCAAGCCCGATGTGAAGCTTGTGGTATAAACGCGCACATCAAGCCATCACTTTATTTAGCGTTCATGTAAACAGTTACACTACATTCAGATTCAATAAGCTGTGCTGCTGTCTAGAACACAAATGCTCAGATTAACCTCAGACAAGAAACAGCGACGAGACACTTCATTTGCTCTCTAATGTGAGATTTCCTAACTTTTATCACTGTAACTTACCATAATAACCCAGATTTTACGTTTCTTAAGCACCAAATAACAATGATTTCAACACAATTATTTGACTGTAACTAGAATAACATTAGATTAATGTCTTACCACTGAATGAGGACTTGCTTCTCCTTTAATCAGGAAACAAACTCTTCTGGATAACATCATGTTCTCTTCAATTAGACGAGTCAAATCTCTCCGAAATCACAATATTTACTCTCGGATATGTATTAATAATAAGTAATTACTCAATAAAGAGAGCAATAAACGAATGTTAGTCAGTAAAACCAAGAAAGATACACGCTTTTTATTTGGTTCCCAGAAAATAACTAAATGGGAAACATACGGGAACTAAACGCTGGAGGACCGTCCTGGAGCAGCGGCATCACAACCGGGGGAAAGAGGGAGAGTAGGGCCCATAGCTGAGAGGGGCCCCACTGAACAGCAACTGCACTAATAGCAGTAATAATAACAACATTAAGAAAAAAAATAAAAATGAACTTTTTATTAATGAACACAGTAGCAGACAGTAAACGTGTTCTTGTTGATTGGAACTGGTTAATTAGTATCTGAACAATATGAACTGGTCATGTTTGACTAGCATTACAGCACAGCTTCAGTGTGGAGCTAATTCTGTCGTTCATGTGGAGAATTCCTTCAGCGGCCAGGATTTAGTGTGGATTTGCTGCCGGAGTCTGGAATATTCCTCTGCGAGAGCCTCAAACTCCTGGCCGTAGATCTGGAAGGAGGCCAGCTTAGACTCCAGCTCGGAGGATTTCAGCTCCGCTCTCAGCTTCTCCTGAAATCAGTGACAGATGCACACAGTAACTGATGGCTCTGGTTTGCTCAAACACTGTTTGAATGTAGATCTGACTCAGAAACACAGCATGCATTCAGAGATTTATGCCACAGTATCTTTTCCTTAAAACATGTGCAATGATGAATACTGCTAAATATGAGCAGGAGTGTGTATTAAAGTACATAGCATTTCCATAATTCCTTCCTAACAGACACTAGTCTTACCTTAATATTATTTATATACAATTACTTTATCACAACTTTCTTTTATTTTTATAATTTCAGTTTTCATTTGAAGTTTAGTCATTTTGATATGTGTTTGTCATTTTTTTTATTAGCATTTTGTTTTTTTTACTGATTTTAGAATAATTTTACTGATAGGGATTTTTTTATTTCAGTTCTAGTTTTTATTTATTTCCAGTAATTTCAGTGTTTCAACTTAAACTTAATTCAGTGTTATTTTAGTATCACTAGATACTATTACAGTTGTTATTAATATTTTAAATCAGTTTTTATTTTAAATATTTCTGTTTTCGTTTTAATTTTAGTAAGAAGATTATTCATTTTGTTTTTTGTTTTGGTCATTTCTATTCTATTATATATTTATTTTATTAGTTTTAATTCAGTTTTCAGTACATAAAGTTAAGCTAAATTAAAATGAGAAATGCTGCAATCAGCAACTACCCGAAATAAAAGTGTTTTTTAAATATTTTGTTTTATTTCAGTTAGCATTTATTTCAAGTACTGAAAATATTTTTCTCATTTTAACTTATTTCAGTTAATTGCTAAGGCAATATTTATAATGTTCTTTGAAGGTTAAAGGGATCCCTGGGTTTTAAGACTTGTATGGCTTAATATAACGTAAATGATGTCTCTTCCTGAAATATGTAGTAGAAGACCCATTAAAGATTTATGTTATTTTAAAAATCACATCGTTTTATACATATTTTGGACTATGGGGGGCGCCATTATTCTGATGATGTAAAATGGTTGCACTCGGTGAGCTACTGCTGCTACCTGTTGCTAATTTTACCACAACCCAACTCGGAATAGACAACTCGGAAAATAAAATACTGTTATGATGACCACAGCTACTGAAAGAGCTTACAGGTGGAGATGGATAAGCATAGGCTTAAACCAAATGCTGTATCAACGATTTTTTCCCCACATGGAGTCTAAACGCCCGGATCTCGAGGAAAATCTGCGCTGAGAAACTCCTCTAGCGGCCGCGCGTCATGATTAGCGTCGGCATGTTTACAGGATGACATAGCGTTTCTCAGCCGTTTGTAAGCTCTTTCAGTAGCTGTGGTCTACTAAAAGACTCAAAGGCATCAGGACTAAAGTGGAGTAAAAAAAGAAGCGGGTCTCTAGTAAGTTTTATTCGTCCACCGGCATCTTCCCATTCTTTTCTCCTCTTCTTGTGAAGTCTTGCATTGCTTCTCTTGTTGCCCTTCGACTGAAAATTACAACCAAAAGTCACACAATGTGATATCGTATCAGTATTTTATTTTCTGAGTTGTGTATTCTGAGTTGTGTTGCGGTAAAAAGCCAAAGACTATAGAAATAAGCGCCAGTAGCTCACCGAGTGCAACCATTTGACGTCATCGACGCAGAATGTACTGTGCACATAAAATAATGGCGCCCCCCATAGTCCAAAAACC